TGAAATTGAGCGGCTGGAGTAAGTCCAAACAATTTCTCTGAGCAATCCCCGTGGTAGATGCGATAAAATATGCAAAGAGTTGCAACATCTCTTTGGGGCGCCAGTGAGTGCAGCCGATCAGAAAGAGCTTGGTCGCCAACGATTCGAACCGCTCTGCTTGTTATTGACGTTAAAGACCTAAATCGCCCCATGGTCTAAGCACTGTTAAACAGTCTAAGATATTTTAAGCTTTACTACGTGGTAGGTCCCCTAATCCATTTGAGAGTTCGTCTGCGTATGTCCCTCCATTATACCTATTTCTGCCACTACTGCTGTGTTCAGGTCTGAAGGCTATAGAAAAACAGTATAATTACAGTTCGTGAGGCATTTCAGTCCGCATATGCAGCTTTTTTTATAAAACTTTAATTTTATATAAAAAATTAAATTTAAATTGTTTACATGGTATACTTATTACTTATAAACAATGTAATCAGCCAAAGGAAAATTATGGTTAAAAAAACATTACAAAAGACAGTTCTCGTCGATTATACAACTTGATAAAGTTGCGTAGCTGAAAATGACGTTGAGACTAAGTGGGGTACTCAGCGATCTCCAAAGCGTTTTACTTCAGCCATTTAGCGTGTCTCACAATCGGAACTTGACATCTATTCGACAATTTATCTGTGTCGTCGCGAATTCCTGTCTCAGCTTTTTAGTCTCGTAATGACTTACTCCGTTTCAACAAATTTATATGTACATATATTTACTTACCATTTATATTTTAATAAAAGCCCCTGAGTATTACACTTTTTTCTCATCTTGAAGATTTTTTTCTTGTAATTGTATATGGAATAACATCCCAACTCAACACCGTTATTCTGTGCGGAATTTGAACACGCGCCCCGTAGCACCGCAGCCAAACGTTAAATTAAATGTTGGACTACAACCTACTGTTTGAACCTATTACCTAAGTACCTAAGCACTCGCTGTAAATTTCCAGTACGCGGAAGAAGCAGGTTGGAGGCCACCGGCACTACTGAAATTGTTAGTAAAATCTTAAGTGCTTATTTACTATGCTTGGCGGTGAAGGAAAATATCGCGAGGAAACCTGCATGTCTAATATATAAGAAAAAAAAATATTTGGAAGACATGTGAAATTCACCAACACGCATTGGGGCAGCGTTGTAGTAGCAGTCATTTCCTTGTCCTAAAACCCCCTTAGAAATTAGAGAAGGCCAGTGCCCAGCAATGGGACGTATGTAGGCTGTAACTTTAACTTTAACCTAAGTACCGTGTTCTGGCGTTGTAATAATATACCATCGAAAACAAAACTTGTAAAAAAACCAAGTCTCGCAACTCAGTATTTTTACAAATTATGTTTTTGATGGCATCTCTATTCCTTTTGTACATAGTCCTACTTTCTTTCCTTTTCGGTAGCTTCTACTTCTTGAATACCAACAACGTACCTATCTACACCTATTGTTCCATTATATTATACATATACAGGCACACAGATACATTCACTGCAAATGTAACTTTGTAATCGTATATAATCATATGGGATTACTAAGTTATTTATGGAGTTAATGTATCTAGAAAACTGGACGGTAATTGCAAAATATTTTAGTTTTACCTTAATTTATACAACAAACACTAACTTTATTCTAAATTTGAAGCTTCTACGTCTGCTAGAAGTGCCTTAAAGTTTTGATGATCGGTCAGTCAGTGAGTGACAAAATTAAGATACTTTGACTAGTTATAATTCTGAAAATACTAGTTCGAATTGAATGAAATTTTAAATATATCGTGTTTATACAATACCAGATTGGTTACTGAAAACTGAAAACGGAAATTCAGGCTTCTAGTTTTATCTACAACGAACTTATAGGGGGTCGAAAATGGCATGAACTACTTCGAGAAAAGTACAGTACGGCCGTGCCGCTTTTTTGCTCTACTTGGCGGGGGCACTGCCGTGCCCCCAGATAACTACTCCATATCATTCCGTGCGTGTTGTAAGATCAGCAGCAGTGTCTGCCTAATGACAAACTACACTAAAAATACAAAAAACAAGCGGTGGCCAGTTCGCTGCCAAGCATGGCAGTTATTACAAATATTTATTTTATAAGCCAACCTATCGAGAAAGCCAAAGTATATTCAACAGTGTAATTTTGATTGATGGTTTCACTCGTCGTTCGTCGTACTTATTAAGAGTATTGTTTGTAATTTAAAAAAATAATTTAAAACTTGTTTATGTTATATTATGTTTGCAGCATGTATGGGTTGGCTCGATCGTGGAAGAACCACGCTCTCATAGAATACCAGTGTAAAATAGCAGTTTAATGCTGTTATGTTTCATCTGGTGAGTGTAGAGAGTGGGAACGAGGATTTTACTAAAACTAAGCATTTAATATTAGTTCTCAGGGGTATTAATGCATCTGCGTTTTGATTCTAATTTGATGATAATGTAGATACCTATGGGCTACAGCGTCCAATTAATACGAGGTGGATTTTTTTTCAATTTTCACCCTTATTCTATAAAAAGAAAGAAAATGTTTGCCAAAGGTCAGGCATATGTAGCACTGAGTAAAGTAAAAACACTTGAGAGTTTTGCTTTATCTGATATAGAGCCAAAAAAGCTATCACACAAACCTCACGAGGAACGAATCAGAAATGCAGACTCAGAGGTCTACACACAAGAGAGACTGACAGGTCTAAAGCTCATTCATCGTGACGTTTTTTTATAACGTAATGTAATTATTATGTATTGTTGTAATACACAACTCAGCATTAAAATCTGTAAGTAAAAAATTAATCACCCCTATTTTCCCATTCATTTTTCTTTATATGAGACATAAAAATCATAACATACACAAAAAATATACGCGTCGACTTAAGTACCTCCTCCATTTTTTCGTCGGTTGCAAAGTAAAATAATTTCTTTTCCAACGTCCAAAGAATGTCTGAAATAAAGTGTATCTCCATACATATAATTTCTGGATACTGTTCTCCCTATTACAAATTTTTAGTGGTCTAGTCCGCAATAATAGACATAATACGCTTCGTTGGCGACGTTAACACGGTCTGATGCTGCAGTGAGTGTAGAAAAATGCAAAGTAAAATTTGCCTTACATTTTTAAAATTGTCACGAAAACGTTTAACTGTAATGTAATTTTCATTTAAGACGTAAAATAAATGTAAAGAAGCCAGTTATGTATTTCCTTCTCATACCACCTGAAATTCATCAAAATTAGCACTATAGGATACGCAAAGGCTTAAAACGTGGTTTGAACTATGACGATTGTGGCGAGCGAATCAAAAGGTGTTCATTGTTCCACGGTCGTGTATTAGTCCTCATATACAGGGTGTTAGTGTAAACACCGTTATTCTTGAAACAAGTGGTTTGGTTTCACTTATAGAACGTAAAATCAATGAAATATAACAACATTTTTTTTAGTAGTGAGATGAAGAAGTGACGTGAAGATTTGTTCCTGAATTTGAACGCCGGGTAACGTTCACACACTACTGATGATTCTTTAGCTCTTTACTTAACGTACTCTTTTGCATTCCTTGTGCTACAACCTATGTTCGAACTACGACGTCGACTAGTGAAAGTCATCCAGAAATTAATAAAATACCTTTTAATTTCTGTACACAAACAATAAACGATCATCAATAATAAAAGATACTCAGTTTTTTCTTTTGAAGTTAGAAATAGTTTGGTAGTGATCACCTTATTCCCAGGGGACTATCGTCACTACAAATGCCTTAATATTATAATAACCCTTTTTATATAGACTTAGTTTAATAAAAAATTTTGTACTTTGTGGAGGTAAAACTTTGTATATTTTCTCGGATTTTGATGTAAAAGCGTATACAACGTCCCAAGAATAAATTACTGACTCGGTGGAGTCGAGTAACTGGTACTAGCTTGTGCCTGTTCCTAATATTTACAGAATAAATATCACTTATTTTTGTAAAAATAATTTTATTTTTTGTACGTAGAACATTTTCGTAAATAAATTGAGTGGCCAAAGTTAATATATTTATAATGCCTGAGAGGTTGTGCATTCTACAGTTAATTGACAGACTCAGAGTTTGGTGGGCTGCTTGTCTAAATTTTTGTTTAATTGTAAAATTTTCCCTTGAGCTTAATTCGATTGTAATTGCAAAGCAACAACGAATTTGAGAGATTCCTCATATTCCCTGCTGCACTGATCAAACTCATTGACTGTTCCCCGATACTGGTCCCTTTTTCTTTTGATAAATTAAAATAATCTGTGAAAAAACTAGTTTGTTTTGAAATTGGGTTTTGGCTGGCAACAAAGTGTTAAGTTTCTCATTAATAATATTATGCCGTTTAGGGTTCCGGCAATTCAATGGTGGTGGTAAGTCTATCTAGAACCTCTGAGCCCGCAATTGATAGACTGTTGATGGTAAGCACTATTACAAGCAGGAAAAAACAATAGATATTTGCTTAATCTTCCAAGTTTTGCATGAAAGATTGGAAAAACCTTTTCTCAGCAATGGATATTAAAGTCTGTTGATGTTATGTGATAAAAATAAATACAATATTGTTAGGATACGTACATCTTTAAAAGTCTTACAGACATCTTTATTATATTTATTAAAATTTATATTCACTTAGATCCTTTAGAATCCTTTTTCGGCGGGTTGCTGCTCATGTATTAATTTTCAAATAATGGTTGAAAGAGGATTTTGATATTTTTAACAGTGATAAAATTTTGTGTATAAAATACATGCGCATATAAACTATTAGTGCAAACAATTAAACGAATGCTCCGATCGTGATGTAAAACCTCAAGTTGTTTTGTCTACTTAGATGCCTTGAGATACAATCTTCATCGGCCCTCTGCTGGCAAAGCTGTCTCAAGAATTTCGCAATGTGACACGTCAACAAATTATAAGGTTTACTTATAAATAAAATATAATTTTTTAATATATAACACTGTCAAAAACTCGTACAAGCCCATTACCAAAGAAAAAAATCGCAAAACTTCTTTTTAATGTTTGTCATACCTTATTTTTGTGGTATCCTCTGTGTAAGTTTGCAATAAATCATAAAACTTATAGAAGAATTCAGCAGACGGTATTGCATTTTTGGGCAAATCGCTTACTTTCTTAAGGAACGTTTCATAACGAGCTTTTTGTTCTTGCTTATACAATTGTAGTATATCCAACTCTTCGTATAATCGGCGAATGCGATCTATTTTCTTTGGATCACTGCTGCCGTAATTCTCTTCGAAAATGCGCCTTTGTTCTGTATTACATTTCCCTAAAACAGCGACGGCTACCCAAGAACATTTTCTTTCTTGTATATCTGTGCCACTCTTACCAGTGACTGATTCGTCTATGTTAAAAGCATCAGTTACATCATTCTGAAATTAACAACAGATTTAAGATCTTCTTTAATTTTCTGTTATAATAAGATTTTTATTTCAAATATACCTACTAAAGAATTTAAAAACAATTTAAAATCTACAAAATGTCATTTGTGTTTTTTTATAATTTGTAAGTAAATAATGTTGACATGTTTGTGCTAGCTTAGCTTAGCTTAGGATCCTTGCAAAAATCTATTTTAATGCAACGACGTTATTGTATCAACTCACTTATTTCTCTCAGATTATGTAATTTCTCTTTATCTGGAAAAAATTAAGTTTTGAATAAATATAGACTTTAGGAGCTATCCAAATGATTTTTTACTGCATTTAATGATGCAAGGACATCATTTAATGCAATAAAAATCATTCTACTAATAAAATATTTTAGTTGGTTATTTTCGATGCATAGTGAACGCGTAATTTAAGTTAAAAAAGTAAAATGAACCAGGTTGTTGAGACTATAAGAAGATAATCTTTATCTGACGATTGAAAAATCTGTCTTTTTTTCTTTTTATAAGCCAGTGCTTGAGCACAATCCCACCTGGTGGTACCTGATGGTACCTGATGGCAAATCGCACTATCTTAGCGTAACAAAAGCCTATTTTGCCACTCTTGCCTTGAAGACGCCCAAATTGTATCCGGATGGAAAGATCCGGCAAATTATTTCACTCCTTTGCTGTACGCATTAAAAAAGTCGAAGTAAACCGTTCGTTACTAATGCGTGGCATATCGATAATAAAGAGGTTCACCTCTTTATCTTCAGATCTGTCGCATGGTCGTCCGATGGTGGAAAGGAGAGGGAGGAAATAAAGCGTGCGATTCCTGCGCACACTCTCCGAAATGCATCCTATAGAATACCGAGAGATTAGCCACCCTTCACCTGTATTGAAGGCTGACTGAAACCAACCTTTCATGTATAAAAGAGTGAAAAATTTTATAATAAATAAATACACAGATTAAACTGATTTACTGCCAACTTTAATTTTATAAAGTAAAATTTTGTGTTATCGGCTTAACATGACACTATTTTCATGTTTTTGTTGTGATTTCTTTTAAGTTTAGTAAAACAATGCAACCAGCTTCTAAAACTCACAAACACTTACGTATATTCTGAAAATCAGCACATATTTTTAAATGTCTTTTTATTTTGATTCTTTGCACAGCTTACGAAACGAACTTAAGGTTAGTAGCCAATATGCAGGAATATATCGTTTTGATATTTTCTTTGATTTTTGCAATATTTACCCGTTAATTGAGGTGGTACGTCTACGTTACCGCCGCATTTTCCTTTTAGTGAGACATGTATACACTGGAAGCAAACCTTGCCACGAATACGCAAATTTTTTGAAAGATTTGTCCATATTTATCGCGTTGGACAGGTGAATTGATCGTAGAACCACCAATATAATCCACAGATAATCATATATCAAAACACTAGGGTATTTGGGACAAATTATTTACCAATAATTCCCGCCATAAATCGCAGCACGAAGTTGTTAAATCGCCTTTGTTTCGTTGCAGAGCTTAATACTTAAGGGGAAATATAATCTCAAATGGCTTAGCAAGATCCTTCGTTATGCCGAAAATATTGCAGCATTAATTTTGAAATAAATATATGGTAAAGTTGAGGTTAAGGATTATGTTAGACGAAAACACGATTTCGCAAAATTTTCTCGATAGAAAAAAAAATCCAAAGTTACCTCCAAAATAAACAATAAACCGCTGTTATTCATAAAATACTTTAAATAAGATCATGAAACTTTGCATACTAACTGAACTAACTATAAAGCAGTGCTTATGTTATTTACTTTTTTAAAATACCTTTATTTTCACTGTAAAAAGAAATTACCTAAACTATCGGCCTTTTGAAGCGTGATACCTGCCGCACGGTCACTTCGCTTTGGCCTATGAACGGGGAGGTTGTGTCGCTTACGATCAGAATATACATTACGCAACAGGACGACGTAAAATTAAAATGGGAAATAACCGTAATAAAAATAAGAAGCGACTGGCTTGGCGTTAAGAAACAGGCATAAACATGATAAACTTAATGAAATAAGTGTCTAACGACCTATCTACTTACAGTATTAGTGATTACAAACATGTCGGTACATAGCATAAGACGCGCGGGCAAGTGGGGACGAAATTAGAATTTGAGCTGACTTACTCTATCCTCTTAAAGAAAATTCTGCGAAAATGTTCACTATTACGTCTCGCTGCAATATTTTTTATGTGTATTTTTTATGTATTAATTACAATTATACTTACGTGGATTTGTGCCAGTACGCCAATATCATCACAGACCCTATCCACGTGATTGTATGACGCCTCATTGAACTTATTGGCAAGTGCTAATCCTAGTAAAATTGGTGATTTGATTGCGTAAAATGACGATTTTATTACGTTTGTAGCGTTATATTGTTCACGTGTAAAGTTATCGTAATTATTTGATTTGGCCGCTATTGTATCTAAATATTGGCCCATAGAAGCAAAGAAATATACCTGTGAATAATAACCATTTCATTGAAAAAAGGATTCTTGTTAGTTTTTTTTTAATATTATAATGGGGCAAACGAGCAGTCGCAGCCATTTTCATAACTACCGACGCCCATAGACATCTGTCTGGATGTTATACAGATGCGTTGCCCTCCTTTCCCCTCCTTTTTTTTTTAATTTATTTTATGTACACACATTAAGGTACAGAAGCAGTCTTATAGTAATTACGTACAAAGGTTCTACTTATTCCAAATTTGCTGAAATATCTTCCAGTAGACCCATAAAGGAAATTATATTTAAATTGCAAACTTAGTGCATACATTAGTACTACAAAAAATAAATAATATACACAATGTTACGGAAATTATATAAAATAAAACAATAAATAAAAATAAAATAAATCAATAAATAATAATAATAATTGATACGATAGTTACATATGATATATATATATATACATATATATATATATATATATATATATATATATATATATATATATATATAATTAACAGGATGCAAAGTAGTTATCTCTAAGACGTTTCTTGAATATCAACAAAGTTTCGGAATTTCTTATATTTGACGGTAGTGAGTTCCATAATCTTACAGCGTGAACTGAAAAGGAGTGGGAGTAATAACCGGAATTAAAGACGGGAAAGTCAAGAAGATTTTTAACAAGGGCTCTGCATGGTTTGTCCGGAGGATGGGTGAAGGAAAATCGGCTTCTGAGGTATGTGGGAGAGGAAGGGTTGTGCAAAATGTTATAGAGGACACATAACAATCGAGTGTTCCTTCGAAGTCGAATAGGAAGCCACTTGAGTTGCTTACGAAACTGAGATATACGGTCAAATTTCTTGAGCCCAAATATGAAACGGATACACTGATTTTGCAAGCGCTCAAGTTTATTAAGAAGCTCCTCTGTAGCATCCAAATAACAGGCATCCGCATAATCAAGGAGAGGTAGGATAAGAGTAAGCACGAGTGATATTTTAGCTTTAAGGGGTAAGAAATTTTGTAGACATTTAAGCGAATGCAAAGTAAAGTAGACCTTGCGACTAACTTCAGCGATATGCGTGGTCCATGTTAAATGGTGATCAAATATGACGCCTAAGTTTTTGACAGTATTGGCAAAGGGTATAGGAACGCCATTAAAACAAACAAAAGGTAGTGATGTAAATTCTAATCTATTACGCAAATGCCTACTGCCTATTATGATGGCCTGAGATTTCGTGGGATTAACTAATAGTCCGAAGGATGCAGACCATTCACAGATGCGGCCTAGATTCGCATTCATAGCTGCAATTGCATTATTTGTATCACCCACCAGAAAATGACGATAAAGCTGTAAGTCATCCGCGTAGAGATGGTAATTAGATGTAATAACACTCGTAATAGAGTTAATAAATATGGAAAATAAAAGGGGGGAAAGAACGCCACCCTGAGGTACACCCGTAGTGATACCCGACCAATCGGATAGAGTGTCATTAACACGGACACAATGTGATCGACCACGAAGATATGAATCAAACCATGCGATGGCAGATGGGGAAATGTTTATAGATTCCAGGATCCGGAGAAGAATATCAAAGTCTACTGAGGTAAAAGCACTACTAAAGTCAAGCAAAACTAAAAGTGTAAGAGATTTATTGTCCATGGCCCAACGGATATCGTCGGTTACTTTAAGTAAAGCAGTGACAGTGCTGTGTCCACGACGAAAGCCCGACTGATAAGTGGAGAGCAAGGAGTTAGACGATAAGAAGAGAGAGAGTTGACTATGAATGATGTGTTCCAAAACTTTAGAAAGAAAGGGTAAAATAGATATGGGACGAAAGTGGGACAAAGAAGAAGGATTAGAAACCTTAGGCAGAGGAATTATATATGCTTGTTTCCAAACTGAAGGAAAAAATGATGACGATATAGAAAAATTAAATATATGAGTAAGAATTGGTAGAAGTAAAGGTAGAACTAGTAAAATCATCTTCGCACATAGACCATCAATACCAACAGCATTTGAAGAGATGGCTAGGATGGATTTTTTGACATCTTCCTCCGTTACAAGGGAAAGATGAAAAGGGCAAACGTGCGGTTTCGGTATACCCGCCAATGCGAGTAGTGTGTTGGATTTGATGTAAGGATCTAAAGTCATAGGAGGAGTAGCAAAGTGATTGTTTAGATCCTTTACTTTAACGTCATTGTATTCTAGGATCGGAGACCTGCCCACACCAACAGAACGAAGGAACTTCCACATCTCAGTAGAATTTTTATTGTGTAGAGAGTTGTAAAAGTAGCGTCTTTTAGCATACCGACACAAGCGACTGCAGCGGTTGCGTAAAAATTTAAAACGATTTAAGTTATTTTCAGATGGGAGACGTTTAAACCTTTGCTTAGCTTTGTCCCTCTGGCCCATAAGTTCTCTTATATCTTGTGTAATCCAAGGTGCAGGATTACGCTTTATTTTTACGCGTTTGAGCGGGGCATGGTTATTGTATACCTTCAAAATTATATCATTAAAATTACAAACCTTCTCATTAATATTAGTATTGTCAACAATAGGTGTCCAATCAACATTACTTATATCATGCTGCAATGACTCCAGATCTATTGCCTTGTAATTACGAAGGAACAAGGATTGGGATTTCTTTTTAGGTGGACAGAGACGATATGAGAGGTAGATTAAATCATGATATGAAAAAGAGGCAGTTATTTGTCCATGAGACATGACACTATCAGTAGAAGAAACGATCATAATATCAAGCAAAGAAGGGTTACAGTTAGGGAAGTGGTGAGTTGCCTGAAGGGGGAGAGTGAGAAGATTGAAGGAAGATACCAAATTCAGAAGTTTTTGGGAGCGAGAATCATTTTTGATAAGACAGGTGTTGAAATCTCCCATTAGAATAATATGATCGTAAGTAGTACTAAAATCAGCAAGGATTTTTTCAAGCGTATCAAAGTAATCTATGTGCATGTTAGGACTGTAAAATACCGCCAGCAACATTTTTACATGATTGAGAGTAACTTCTATGAAGAGATATTCAGCAGATTGAGAGTAAATAGAAGGAGAGGCACATATGGTCTTATAAAATATATCCGAACGCAGGTATATAGCTACCCCACCACAACCTTTTCCTATACGATCATTACGAATAAGGACAAAACCAGGTAAGGCAAACTGTGTAGAGGGGAGTGATGGCTTGAGAAATGACTCAGAAATTAGTAAAGCATCGAGATGTGCACTGTTAATTGATGCTAGAAGATCAGGATAATGGCGAGGAACACTCTGGATGTTAATGTGTGCAAGATTAAATTGTTAGGAAATTTAGAGCGCAGGGATGAAATCTGGTCATACAAAGTTAAAGGTAACTCACTATCCGCACTTGTAAAACTACATGAAGATGAAGAGCATGAGAAGAAACTGTCATCAAAAACATCAAGATTATCCATTTAGCAAATAAATTAAGATAATATAATAATGTATAGTAATATAACAATAATATAATATAAAATGTAAATATAATAATACAGTTTAAAAAATATGTATAAATATGATATGTAAATACAATATATATGTATATATTTATAAATATCAATTTAGCAATTATTTAGTTTAAAATAAAACAAAACTTAGGTATAATCTAATACAAACGGAACAGAAAAAAAAATTAAAAAACATCTAAAATCACCAATCACAGAACTGTCATGAAATACTGAAGAAAAAAAAATCTTATGAGAGTATAATTTATACATAAGATTCGATTAAAAAAAAAGAAGTTTAAAATGTTATGATATGAACCTATCTTATAATTATATACATATTAAACTTCCTAAGAGATTAATAAAAATATTGAATAACACTATTACATATTACTGCAAAGCAGAATAAATAATACATTTTCCCAAGCTACAACTTGACAGTATCACAGTGGCCAAAGGGCCGTGCGTCACAACTAAGAGAAAAAGTAAATAAATAAAAAAATGCATAATAGTCATCTCAAAACTCACGAGTGTCAATTCCACAGAACACTATTACTCCTATCGGAGGTCAATTCAATGTGAATCACAGACTAGTATGATGCTTACGCAAATGTGAATGATAAAATAGACATTTTGATAATTACTGTGTGTATTTAAATGCTTATCTTATTATAAAAGTACCAGCTGGAAAAATGTATCATTATTACAGAAATATAAAGTAATTATAAAACAGTATTACAAAGTGGTTGTAAAGCGGCTAACAAAAACAAACAAAAAAAAAAAATGATTATTCTATGTACCTATGTTTTCTGAAAGAAAACAACGAAACTAGGGATTAGTTGCGGCGACGAGCCTTCCGTGGAGCATTAGTAGTCAATCTGGACGCAACTTCCTTTGGAGAAGTGGGTTCCTTAGACTGACCAGGGTCTTTGACCGTACTACACTTGTCGGGATATCTGCAAATAAGGGGTTTTAGTTCTGCCATAGACTCAATCCTCTGACGTGATTTGTCCGGCAAAATAATAACTATTTTTCCTTCTACGGACCAGCAGTTCTTAATCCCGAAATGTTTACGAGCTGTCATAAATACTTTGTGCCTTGTCTTAGTCAAAAACTCGGAAATCGTGATACCTGAACCTTTTAGTGAAGTTTTGTTATCCCAGACAAGACGACGACTCTCCGGACTACCAAATTTAACAAGCACTGGACGTGTTGAGGCTTGAGAAGATCCAAGACGATGGCATACTTGTATATCCTCGACTTTCAAATCGGTCACCTTCATTTGGTCGGAAAACAGCTTATATACCGATTCATGCAACTTCTCATTCTGTCTTTCAGAAAAACCATGGATAAGCAGTATTTTTCTTCTCATTGCTGTTTCATGTTTGTCAATATTGTATGTAACTAAGTCCAATTGTTTTCTGATCAGCGATAGCGATTGACAAACAAAGGATTTGAAATCGTTGAAGTCCTTGGACAGTGAAGAAATGTCAGGGTGAACTGGCGAGGAAACAGCTGAGGCTTTTAAAAGCTTATCTTCATACTCACGCATGCGAGAAGCAAATAATTTTTCCAGTTCATCAAGATTATTTACAAGCTGTGGGTCCATATTTGACGGTTATGCAAAACTGTGCTTTAGCAATAAAAAGATAGAAGTTGTTAAGAACAGCACGTGTTGGTAGACTTTAGCAGTGTTTTAACACATTTATTTAGAAAGAACAAATACTTTAAATAATTTAACAACAATAAATATAATTAGCACACTGAGTTTGCGTGTTTACTTTGCGACCTCCTTTCCCCTCCCCACCTCAAGGGCCACCGGATACTTACACACCGCACGAAACGCGACAGCTCAGCTGCCACTTTACGCCGGTATCGTGTAAGCGAGAGGTACTTCCCCGGTCGTGCCGGCCCAATTCGGCTACATGCATGCATGCAGCGTGGCACTACCTCTTTCAATTTAGATGAAGTTGTTATAATCTAGAAAAGGAATTAAACTAATACCTATGCACATGTTTCGACTGCAAGAAACTGCAGGGCTTCTGCTAACTTTGACACTTCTAACTATTATAGTTATATAATAACTATCAAGCTATCCAACTTTGATTTCAATTGAGTATCTTATAATTTGGTATTACGCATAACGTACAATATCGTTCGAAAACAGTGGTACAAATCGTTAACGTTGGTAGAATCACACGGCTGTTTTTACTGGCGTATGGATGGGCCGGCTCGAACTGGGGTGGTACTACGACCTCAAATAAACCAGCGTGAAGAAGAAGTTTACTTGCGTTTCGTCTGGTTAGTGCCAGAAGCCCAATCTTCCCCCCCTCCTCAACATGGTAGAGGAGTTAAGAAAACACCAACTTAAGAGGGTACCAGCACCCGTGGTGACGAAGAATCCATCGCTGAGTATCCACGCCCAAGCTACCCTACTCGTCCTGAGCGTGGGTGCTCCCCACGTATGGTGAGGGAGCGAAATTCTGCTCAAGATTACACGCTATCCGTGAATTTCTGCAACACCAGGGGACTTCCATCTGAAGACGGCAAGGCTGGCCTTTATCTTTCTAACCGAGACACAGTCGTCCTCTACTGCTGATACAAATTACAAAGTACAAATAAGAGCACTCCTATGTGCCCCGGGGTGGAATTTGCGCACACGTCAGAAAGGACATCTGTTTATGACGCCTTGGCAGACTTGAAGGTACAAACCTATCCATCGTATAGATTCGTGTAAACAGCGACAGTCATCCCCACATCTACGTGTGCTTGTATAGATGCCATAGCAGTAATACCGAAGCAGACCGACTCACCAACCACGTCCAAATGGCTTCAAACTAACTACAACAGGTCCCATTCGCAGATATCATGATACTCGGTGATTTTAATGCCCACCACGCTGAATGACTTGGTTCCCGTTAAACCAATCATGCAGGTAGACCTGTTTACGACTTTGCATTGGCATATGGTCTGACAAAACTGGTTACTTTGCCCACGGGGATTCCACATGTAGAGGATGTACCTTCCCTGTTGGACCTTCTGCTGATTTCTCATCCGGACGAATACTAGGTCTTCGTTGATGCCCCTCTTGACATCCTGGTATTACAGTTCGGTCGATTTGGACAGGATGTGGTACTTCAGGGAATGGAATTATTTATTCCATCATTTATGGTGCCTATCGTAAGCAGAAATCTTCGATAGTTTGATCATTCCTGTAAAATTGCATCACAGCATAAGCAAGGTACCAGGCATGGGCTGACGAATCAACGTATTGGAATGCAAAAATCAGCACTTTTAAGAAGTATAATTCCACCTCCAGGTCTTTAAAAGTGCAAAGCAAAGTCAGAGCACATTGGCAGAATTGGCGAGAAACTAGCTCGACTTCCTTCGGAAATACGTAATAATTCTGATCTCTTGCCAAGTCTGTCCAAGGGAACTTCTGTCAGCCATCTCTACCATCTCTACACAGGAAAGACGACTCTCTGGTCTATGTCCCAAAGTAGAAAGCCAATCTACAACGCTCTCTCATTACGTCCAACTCGACTCTCGATGACGGGGAGCACAGATGTACCGTTTGAGTATTTTGCCTCTTGTGTAATTATAATTGTAGTCATGAGGTTATTCCGACATTTCAAATAGCCGTCTCTTACGACACCCATGGGATGAAATGGGTTGGTGGATATTTTAAAGCTGTCACGTCGACGGCAACTGTCTTATAATATAATTTAATACAGTGGACCCCCGATAATCCGGCCCCTGGCTAATCCGCACTCTCTTTTAATACGACATGCCTTTAGGTACAATCGATTCGCGTTATGAATCCGCCATGGGAGGAGGAATCCTTCGCGAATACGTGGACAAACAGGTCGTAATTAGTTTGCGCAATTGTCTCAGTTTAAGTGTGAGTGTGGTTGACTGCTTAGGTATTCATTGTGGATCACGTGACTCTTTTTATTTTTATTACTTAAATTTGATATGTAATTTGTCGGATTATAAAGCACTCTTTATCAAAAAGTTCCGAACTACCAGGGGGATGTGGAATTACGCTATAGTACGACGCATTTGATAATCCGACACGGCCTGGCCAAACGTTTGTAGGATTACCGCGGGTTAACTGTAACTAATATAAAGTTTGTTGAGAACTCATAACATACTTACCCTATTATAAATGCGTAAAACATTGTCACGTAGTTCAGCCGTGAAATTTTGTCTTACTAATTCCTCAATAAAGCTTCTCATGATACAGGCGTCGTTAAACGCTAGCGACTCAGTGTCTGGACGTAAATGCCAACATGGTTTTCCGCAACGTGTTTTGGCGTCATCCTCAAAATCGTCCCAAATAAAGAAATATGCTTGAACCTGCAAATATTTTATATATACTAAGGCGATATACGACCACATACTTCTTTATATCGTAAAATGAGATTTTAGTAGCTATATCGATGATCCTGTTTTTGTATAATTTGTTAGTTTTTTTTTATGTGGAATATTTTTCTCTCACCTTCCTGCAATCGTTGGCCTTGAATTCGTGAAAAGGGACGGAAGTGTGTCCCGGGAAGCTCGGAAAGCGTGCGACGTTTGATTGGACATGTAAGCGCATAAAAGTATCTGTGCGCGAAAAGTGACTAAAGGTATGGCGGAGCGAACAATCAAGTGGACTGTATTCGCGGGGTTCAAAAGGTTCCAAAACAAAACGGCAAGACGTGGCACGTGACGGATTTTGGACAATAAATTTGCTTTGAAATTAATTTGGGGCGTTTGCTGACACTACGGGAGATAAGCTGCTGAGAATAAAGAAACGACAAATAAAACAAACAGCTCATAATAATAATGGGCACCTAGGGGAAGCAGCGTATTTATTATGTACGAGTAGATAGCTATTACACTGCGCTGAATCTATTCCAAACAACAATAAATCAGGTAATCTTTAGCGACACATAACTGTCCCACGAAATAATGACAAATCAGAATACTACGAGTATAACACAAGTTAACTTCTTATGCGTGTATTTACTTAGCGATATTCAAAGAATTCTAAAAGGAAGAGCGGTCAATTGCACGTTGCAGGTACAATGACAAATATACAAACGAAATAAACGATTTATGCGAAAACAAGTCGAATGTAATTGTGAGCGGTATAATACGACTGAGGGAGAATGTAGAAGGTGGTTACTTGTAGTATTTACTAATCAAATCAAATGATATAACTATAGTAATACACTAGTATATAAATTCATATAATATAGTATGAATTGTAGTGCGATATAAGTAAATAGACATGCTGGGACGAACTAAATAAAATTGGCGTCTATGTACCTATAATATTGCGAGCGCTGCTACTAAATCTAAATATAAGCTATTGCGTTTTGGCAATAGAATCAAACAATACGGGGTACAGTAAAGTGGTGTGAAGTGAAACTAAAATCTACTAGGAACTTAGGCGCGATTAAATCAAAGTATATTGTCCAAATTTCAGTTCAGCAATTCGACTTCATTAGGCCGTAGGTTGCCAGTTCGAATCCGGATCGAATGGACCAAAATGTATGGTTGGGCCATAGGTCGCTGGTTCAAATCCGGATCGACTGGACCAACAATTTAAAGTAAAGATGACAAAAGAGCACACAGTCCGCCTGATGGTAAATGGATACGAGGCAAAGAAACCCTCATAGACACCTACACCTATTTTCGATTTTTTAAATTATTATAAGCAAATGGTCGACCACGGTTCACGTGGTGGTAAGTGGTGGGTTAACAAAAACCTATTTATTCTTGCCTTGAAGATTGAACAGACTTGAGAAAAAACAGACGGCGATAAAATGATTTCATTTCTTTGCTGTACGCAAACCTTTTGTATTTAATGCGTGAAATATGTTGTCCGATGGTGGAACGATAAGGGAGGAATCAAAGCATGAAATTCCTTTGCACACTCTCCGAAACACAATATCGTTTTTGCTGTAGAGGTAAGAAGCAGACTCGGCATGAATTACCGCCGGGCTTACTTTTGCATGGACTCCTAGTTTCTCTGCAAATGATTTGGCCCTGGACTGAATGAAACCGCCATAGTTAGGTTCGGAAAAATCTCAACCCGTAACAACTGAAAGCGTCTGGGTTCAAATGCGGACTATTTTTTTTAAACATCACATCTATTGTTACCATTTGATTGCAATAAAGATTATGATTATGATGATTATGATTATTCCAAAGATACATTCCGAAAAGTAGTGGTCAGATTGAACGAGCATCTTTTAGCGGTAAAAAGACACGCTCGAAAGCATTGAATCTCATGAGATTGACGTCGCCCCATTCGAAGACTGCCTGCAGTGGATTTTATTCCAACTGGCCCAAGCATTAGGCTTGTGTCTTTCCACAACTTTGCTGTCGATTGTATACCCATAGATATTAGATCTTTACATAAGAAGTTGCATTTTTTATAAAATAAGTTGACGTAACTTTTTCCTATATCTTTTAATTCTATTAATCAAAGTATCACCCATGTAAACGTAGTTGCCGTGCATTGATGACCTTCTTGATAAATCAGCTGGACGGTAGACAAAAAAATTATTCAAAGGCATTGTATATTGTCTCTCGGGCATTAAATTTTTCTCCCGCCGCCAAAGAGTTATAACAAATTCTGGAAAAAGTGGAAGTCTGTAGTCGCAAGGTCTGGTGAGTATGGCGGATGATAAAGAGTTTCCAACCACAACTCTTGTATCTCGGAGGCTGTCTGTTGTGCAGTATGAGGTTGCGTGTTTTCGTGCAGGAGCAACCAGTACAAGGGTATGAACAAAGCTAGTTAGAAACGTACGATCTTCTCCATCATTGTGTTCAGTTTTTCACAGAGCACATCTGCAGTAATGCTCATTCTGTTTAGTAAGAAGCCGTGATGCGGGCGCTAGATCACCAAACAGTGACCAACATTTTTCTATGGTATTGTTTTCGTTTAGTGTATTGTTTAGGTGCTGAACCAGGATCTCAACAACTTGCTCAGAGCTTGCGATTGTCAACCAGAATCAATTATCAATGCGGCTCGAAACGTTACTTTCAACGCTGCTTTCTACTGCTATTGTACGTTAGTAATTTTTGAGAGAGTGATCCTTCCCTGATAGAGCAAATCCATCATGATGCAGCCATAATGTCAGTAGAGAAACTATACCAGAAACGCCTTTTATCACAGAAAATATATAATAAATAATGTCCATATGTTAACTATGACATATGGACGTTGAACATCTCAGTCCTGCCCGTGACCATGAGTGCTGTAAAGCGTTCGAAACGTCGGGTATTTAAAAAGTTAAAATATACGCGATAAATTCCGTAAAAACTAGTATTATTTCAATGTGTAGTGTTCGCGTAAATATAAGAAATCATTATGTATCATTCTCATTTAATCTACAGTTTTACTTTACTATCGGTAACGATTAAAGATTATTGAAAGTAGTAGTTCTATCGGTAATGATTAAGAATATATATCTCTGCTGCTCCTAATTGCTGTTCTAGATATATGAAATAGTGTAATGCTGTCTCTCGGAGACTTTGGTCTTTCTGATTTTTCACTTATTACGAAGCAGGACGACACCGTAATGGATTTCTTATCCCCGTAATTAAACAAGAGACTTTACACTTTTACAATTTTTTAAAACCATTATCAATACCTATAACTTTTCTATTAAATAGACGTACCATTTCAGCCGTGCACGTTATCACTTGAATTTTTTTAAGCAGCTCTTCACTGATCACTTCGGGTTTTTCAAGTGTTTCATAGGCAAACGCAACAAATTCTCCATGTACTGGTTTTCGTCCAATCAAATAATATTCTGAAAACTTTATTTTTATATCATTAGAGTTACAAACGAGGTAATACTTTAAAACAAAAAAGGCCTCTGACACTCAGAGTTCATCAGAATGTCATTTTTTTAGACCAACAAAGAAAGATAGACGCGGCACGAGAGATAATAATTTATATATAAGAAGTGAAATACCACTGACTGACTAACTCATCACGAGATCTCTAAAACTATACACCCGATGGGCTATCAAAGAGAACGGATTTTACGATAGTCCCATAAAAAATTATTACATTTTCATCTAGGTTCCGCGGTGAAATTATTGTGCGTATAGAGTTTCGACCGAGTATCAGCTATTTATATAATTATGAAAACGTCTCGCAATATTTAGTGAACTTTTTAGTAATCTGTGGCAATATAGATTGATGTTCAAACATCGCAATCTGTGTTACGGGCGTCGCTCATCTCCGTAAGTACAGAATTTTGTGGTTTGAGGCTTGCGGTTGTTGTCATGCGCGTGGCCAGGTGGGTGAGCCAACCGCCGCTCGAACGAGCCGCGGCGGCGAAAAATAATTAGCGTGCCGCGATTTTCAATAAGTTTAGGAACTGTGCTTTTTGTAAGTTTTAGTATAACAAACTTTACATACGCTTCAAGTGACGCCAAAGTGCTCAGCAGAAAGCATGCTTACCTAATTACGAAAACACACACGTATTAATTTGAAAAGTAAAATAATTTGCAATCAATATGGTTTTCCGGGAAATTTTTTTTAAAAAAGCATTTCTGCGTGTTCTTACAATAAGTTGATCATGGTTTCGGCGTCGTGGAGTATTGTCTATCTTTCTTGGTTTTCACGTAATTTACATTTTTATTTATTTTAGTTTGGTTTTTTTCGGTAGAGGATTACATCAACAGCATTATATCACGATACTCATGATGAACATAATTATATCCGATCAAACTGTCTTCCCCAAGGAATGCCACAAAACACGATCCTGAGCCACCTGCATCAATCGACTACCTACATGTTTTACTAGGTCATCACTTCGTCTAGTGGGGTCTAACCTACACTCAACTTAACAGTACAAAGCTGCCACTCGAGAACCTTTCTAGTCAAGGGAACTCTTCAGAGAGAAAGTAAGCCAGAAGATAGACGATAGCATCTTTCTGATAACAAATAACTGCGAATACCAACCAGCCTGCCAAGCATGGTCACTATGGAAATGTACCACGCAAAACATAAATAAACCAAAATATCTGCGAGCATTTTGTAAATGAAATTACTATTTTAGTTTAAAAACGGTGCAATTTTACACGTCTTTTCAGATATTCATAATTCATTTCACATTAAAAACAGAAAGATAAACTTATTTCTTGACGGATATAATATATTCGAATATCCTGAAGCAGTATGTGTGGCGGACGTGACAGCCCTAGCTGCTGGCGGTGTCACGAAACTTGCTGAGGGTGTAGATTATTTAACCAAATACATGAGAGAGTTGACATATTCATATGTTCTCAGAGTGCATTTAGCAAATCAGCATTATAATTACGTTATGTTTCTAGCTGGCCAGGCAGACGTTATTCTGCCCTTTTCGACGACTTTACTCTAAAAGTCCTTAAATTTGCAATAAAAAATTAAAGGTTCCTTATCGGGTTAAAAACCGCCCTATCTCTCAAGTGTGAAATACTGCATACAGTGTGCAAAATTTCACTGACATCAGTTCAGTAGTTCAGGAGTTCATCGCGGACAAACAACGTGACACGTAATTGTTATATATAAAGATTATAATTACTATAACCTTAAAGAATATAAATGTGAACCAATTGAATTATTTTAATCATACAACTGTAATTTTTTATTTGTTTAGGTTGTATTTTATATTAGGAATAACTGTTATCTGACGATTAAAAATTCAGCCCTCAATTAAATATTTTTAAGATTACATAATTTTATGAAAAATATCATACCGATACCTCTTTTATTCTTGATTTTACAGCCGCTGACTTTATAAAAGTAGCATTAGCCAGTCCATTATCAATTATCTTTGGTGCGTAATTGTCGAAATCTCTAACAACGTCTTTGTAAAGAGGTGATAGTTTCGGTTTTGTCGAACTCCTGAAAATTCATCAGTAAATTCCTTTTCTAATAATTTGTTTCTGCTATGTTTTTATAATAAATTGATTATTGTAATTAGAACTGACTAAGCTGATTTTTACGTTCGCAAAAAATTTGACGATAATTTATCATGTACCAACCGGTAAAGAAAAATTTGCAAGAAAATTAATCATCACCATTATATTAAAAAAAAATCACAAGTCTACTGCTGAACATCCCCAACAAGGTCTCTCCCAAAGAATGGCACAAAACTCTGTTGTGAGCTTGCGTGCGTCAACTTCTTGCATGTCTTACCAGGACATCTAGCGGTGGACCGCACTACATTTTGCTGCCGCTTTAGCTTACAGATCCGTTGGACTAGTCGGTTTCTCCGGTTCTAGTCCTCTGGCAACGCGGAGTACTAGAATTACACTCGTATTACACTCCCCAAATCTCACTGAGTAACCTGGCTTGGTTATACAGCAAATATAGCAAAAGCAACAGACAAGGTACACAGGAAACAAGAAATTTTATAAAAAATATTGAAAAAATATAGGAATCTGTTATCCGATTTTTTTAAATAGATACATTGCGTCAATATGTGAAGTCTTGGGAAAGTTTTGCAATGTAACGGTGTAGTACAATTTCTTAAGCTTTCCGTCCTGAAACTTTCTAGTAACTTACATGTAAAAGCCTACTGTATTTGCAGTGTTATTACTGCAGTGCGAATGTATCGCCTCGGCCGGGTAAATATCATGCTCTCCACTAGAATAATGCTGCTCTGTATCGTATGCTAGTTACCACGCATTCCATCAAACAATACGGGAGTGACGTATAAGTGTCTATGGGTCACAGCATCCGCTTACCATTCGATTGACTGTGTGCTCGTTTATCATCAATACTAATACAGAAAAATATTTTACCTCTTTTACATTTTATGTATACTTTACATAAGTTCTATGTTTTTGTTCAAATTTTATAATAACATAAACTTATTTTTCATTAATTTATTTTATTTCTTTTTATTTGGCAAGCTTACAGCTACATTTAAAATCCAGATCACTAACTCGCCATAATACAACAAATCTTTACTTAGACACACTACTTACTAAATATAGTGTAAGAGTAAATTTAATACTCGTAGTACCATCATTGAATAAGTCTAAATCGTTGTTTTCAGAATACTTATTAAATATTATTGTTTGGTCACGTAGAAAGAATGAATGAGGAAAGAGTGACAAAGCAAATTTATATGACAGATGTGAATGGCCGAGTCGGGAAGGGACGCCCTAGGAAAAAGTTTATCGACCAAATTGGCGATATTTTGAAAATGGGCCACGTTAGAAGTACCCTTAACCGACGAGCATGTATGCGTAGATATATGGATGTAAAGGAGGCGAAAGAGGTATGTCAGGATCGTGCCAAATGGAAGTCCGTAGTCTCTGCCTACCCCTCTGGGTGACAGGCGTGAGTGTTTATGTTTTATATGTTATTAAATAACCTCAAAGCTCTTGGTATGATTTCTATGATTACTATGATTTCTATAATTAGTATGACATGTTGGAACGTTAAGTACTATATTTTTGCTTAATTAAATTAATAAAATAAAATAAAATAAAAAAAAAATTAATAAAAAATCGTATCGATAAAAATTAATAAAATTATGCATTCATTACAGTTTATGATAAGTCCACTGATGAGCAACGGCCTCCCACATAGATTAACTTACAAAGTGAATATTTGTCATAGCAGTCACGCTTTGGCAAGCGAGTTAGCAACCGCGGTTTTTCATTATTTTTTGTTGTTTTCAGAAGGGCACTGCCGCTCATCTCCTGTTTTTTTTTCCCTGCTTCTTCTCTTACCACACACACGAGATGATATAGAGGAGTGGGCTATTTAGAAAACTATTAAAGCAATTGCAGTTTTTAATTTGGCCTTAAATAAATTTGTATTTAATTTTTTTGCCTTTAGAATGTGGGTATATTATAAATATAATATTGCGATGATATTGAATTGAGACGGTTTGGTAAGGCGCAAACGAGTGATCACAAATTATTTTAACAAAAACAACAGACTTAGGAATACAACCACTGGCTAGAATTTAGCTTTTAGTCAAATATTGAGAGTGATAATTAGCCATAGATATAAAACTAATCCTTAAGTATACTACGTTTTAGATTTAAATTTAACTTACCGTCTAACGTTATTTCTAAGATATTTAAAAAAAATCATTTGCGAGATCATATTAAATTAACAAAGGAGGAAAACAAAAAGCCGAAAGAGGTAGGTACGTACTAAACCATTTGAAATAAAGTTTGCTTATATATACATTACCCCGCTATCTGTATGTTACTTTTTTCTCCATAGTCCGTTCACGCTAAAAAAAAATAGTGAGTCATCATGTAACTACACGATAAAAGTGTTTACGATACAGTAAATTAATAAACTGTACAAAAAAAAAACTACCACTGAAGAAACCTTCCACAATTGGCACTCTTAAACGAAGAGACGCGTCTTTAGGTTTTTTTCCCAGTAATATTTTAATTAATCCTTAAATTATTTATAGCCTTTGAGGTTTCCAATTTTGATTGGTACTAATAATTATTTTTATGCTTTACTTTTAGTTTAACGAGTACACGGTACACGGTAGAGTAAAATTCAAACTATTTATATTTTAAAAGATAAAGTTTCATAGATAAAAATCTCAAATTCTGTTAAATCAGTATTACGAGTATTTAAATCAATATTACTAGAATCTTCATCCGTATTTAGTACAAAAGAATTTTAGACTTTTCTTCTCATTGCACATTTATTTAATTCATCCAATTTGTCAGCAGAGATCTTCGTTTACGCGGGTGATTTAATGTGTTATTTTCCTTTTGTTCTTTAATAATTTAATAAACTGTATTTTTAGATACATGCATTTACTTGCTGTTCATAGGACTGCATTCTACGCAGTCTAAATGTCACTCTCTAAATCACATGGTTTAAAGTACTTAAAAACATTGTAAACTATTCGTCTTTATCCGCTATGAATTACCGATCTACTTTTATCTTTACGAATAGTTGAGATATTCATTTTTAAAATTTTATTTTATTTAGGGAACGCGCAAATGATACAACCGTTTTGTACGAACGTCTGCTCTGGTCAGTGTGTACTTGACTTTCTAATTATCGGCGACCTTATTGGACGGGGTGCGTGGCTAGGCCGGCAGACAACGATGACTCATTATTTTCTTAAACCTAATGAACTATAGTTATTTTATATCTTAGTGCAATCATGTTAACAAGCTATCTCGATGGAAAAGTGCCATGTCTGACGCGTAATTGAGGTTCTGGCCTTCGCGATTCCTTTTTAACGAGGATATTTTATGCATTCATAGAAATCATTAAGGAAACGATATTTGTACATTAACATTTTATAAATATATTTGTGATTGTTGTCACATTGTGAAATCAGAAACTCCATTTTCATTGATTTGAAATGACATTAATTGATTGAACCACTTATTTTGCGTATCAGTTAATACACCGCCGCGCTCGCGTTGCTACATAAACCCGTATATGCCGTAATGCCATAACGTTCTGCCTGTCGATAACTAATATGTAGTCGTTCGTTAAAATGAAATTGATTGCTTGAATACAATCAATGTTAAACAATTAGGTTAAACTTATATAAGATTGACCCCCACGTATATATATTATATTTATTCATAAAAGCATACATAAGTTTGTATTTATGCGTGTATGAATGTGATGAGATAATTTATTTCTGTTTTAACTTCCGGATATCTGATTAATACAATACAATAACTACTCGATTATGACTATTACTTTGATCATCACAGCCCGGGATTAATACAAGTTATGTTAGTTTTTAAACTCTAATTTTATTATTTTTATTTTTATGATATAGTCAATAAATTTACTGTTATGTTAGTTTTTAAACTCTAATTTTATTATTTTTATTTTTACGATCTAGTCAATAAATTATAGTCTAAAACAAAGTTCTAATCTGCGTCTGTTTGTATATATACGCTTAAGGGTAATTAACGGCTTTTGAAATAGTTTTTACATATTATATATTTTATGAAAGGATTATCTCTATAATCCTTTAATAAAATATAAAAAAATTAGTTCATATAAAGCCAAGGTGAGGCACTAGTTGAAGAAAAAGTTATAATTTATGTAACTGTAAAAAATGTATTACGTAACATATGATTTCAACAAAGTCTCTTTTATGTTTCCTTAGTTTTTGCCTCTTAGTATACGTCCAAAATTTAAATCAAATATTTTTATTGCTCCGTAAAGTTTTTCGCGCTTTAATTTTTTTTAATTTACATAACATTAGTTTAGGAATAAAAATCATATTAAATTCTCCGTTGCTGACAAAATAATTCAAAGGAAAAAAACTTCTTATTTGTCGGCTAATAAAAGTCCTGGTGTAGACCTCTTCCGTTGTATGGGGGATTAAATAATCACCGTGGACAGACATCAGACGCAGGGTTGCCAACTTTCCTATATAATATCGTACTCTACTATATTTTAGTAGATGTACTACAAGCTGTTACGAAAATATTATCAATCCATCAATCCATTATAAAAGTTCACTGCTGAACACAAGCCTCCCCCAAAGATTCTATCATAGGAGGGATTTTGCTGCAGTTGCCACGTTTGGCAGGTGAGTTGGGAACAGCCATTTTTTATTATTTTGCCAACCACCTATTTCAGCTTCCCCCTGTCGCCTCTTACGGCAGCCATACGACAATATTGAGTAGTGGATATTCCTACAACGCCACTATACGGGTTCCGTACACCGCTTACATTAAAAAAAATATATAGCATTCATAAATACTATAATTTTAACCAAAGAAAATATATCATAAAAGTTTGTTTAGATATCTTTTTGCAAATGCAGATAGATGAACAAAAACGTAAACACTCACAACACTTTTTCTTTCGTAGTATGCATTTCATGTTACGTACTATAATTCGTTGTTAATAATATATTTCTATAAAAAATATACATAAAACCTGTATGCGTATCTTTTCTGGGCACAAGCCTCCTCTCAGAGGGTTTTGGGGCAAGGAGCTATCCGCTGCGCTCTTTCAGTGTATAATATATATACTCTGAAAGAGCTGTAATATCTATACTTCGCACTTATTGAAAATATTATTTTTTAAATTTCTCACAAATGGAGATTTCCTCACGATATGTTCTTCTCCACCGCCAAGCACGTGGTAAATTACGATTAACAATTTCACAGGTGCCATCGGGGATCAAATTCCAATTTACGCGTACTGCGAAATTTAGCCCCCGAGAAAGAAAGAAGGATGAACTTTATTCGAAATCACAAGGAAAAAAAATAACTCGATGTAATAAAAAAAGAGGATTTTTGTGAAGTCATATTAGGTCCCTATTTCAGCTAACTGCTGTTGTACTAATTGACAGCAGCGCTGATTTTCAAATTTAAAAAAATTCACTGAGCTATCAACTTGTAAAAAAAATAAAATCAGCAATTAAAATTTTAAAAAATTAAATTAAAATTGCAATAAGTACTGCGGGTTGTTAACTAACAAAATTTTTAACAAACGCTTTTAAAATAAAAAAAATGAATTCAAATAAATATTAAAGATCTTGTGTGACACTGAAAAATGTAAGAGTAGGTACTTGTATCGACAGTAAATGACAACAAGGTATTCCTACTCTTGTTTGATATAAGTGTTAATCATGTCATCTGGAAGTGTAAAACAGATAATGGATAACATATGTTGGAACAAAATATGTAGGTTACATAGCTTTACACTTTTTTGTGTATTTGCGCTTTTAATTTCCACTGAAAAATGTTTTATTTTTTCCTATCAGATGTCCTTTTTTATTAAATTAAAATAACCCAAACTTTGAGTCCACCTAATGGTAAATAGCTACTTTCCACCTGTAACCAACTTCAAAAAAGCCCTACAGAATGCACTATGCAATTACTGCATTTTTATACCACAATATCTATTTATACTGCCTCTCTATATCCTTCACACAAGAGCTGAGGGGTTACATTTGTAGTGTGATTACTCAGAACGCTACTCATTGAATAAAACTAATTAAAGGTATTTCCCGGGGGTTAAGTGAACATGGTTATTGCAAAGCACTAAGTACAAAAGTTGGTTAACAGTGGCCACGTGGCAACTTTGGCCGTTGCCCGGATGAGCTGCCTCGAACCGGGGAAGTACCATGACCTTACGGAATATTAGCGTAAAATAGGAGCTTTGCTTCTGCATTTCGATGGTTCAACTCACCACCCCCACCCCTCGTAACATGGTAGCGTAATTTAAAAATAGAAGACTACTACAGGAGGGTAACAGAACCCCTGGTAAAGGAGAGTCGTTGTTGCATACGTTGCGTACGTGCGTACAGTTTGTCTCTGCCTTAAAGTATTATCCATAACATATTATCAGCACTCAGAAGACAGAAGAGCACACACTAAGAATTCATACCATTTTGTCAGTGAAATAAAAGACCTACGTTTTACTGATAATGAAACTATGGTCAATTTTGATGCTCAGTCTCTATTTACATGCTTACCTGTTGAAGATTGCATCTCAATTCTAACTAGGAAACTAGATGAAAATAACATGCCACCAGAATAAGCAGTACAACTCAGACATTGCCTTACATCTGACAAAAAGAAAATAACTGTCCATGGTGGGATGCGTATATCTATTCCATTTATTTTGCACAAGAAATCTCTTTAATTTGTTCCTTTTCACCCCTAACTACTCTTAGAAAGTTTGCTTTAAAATCATCAATAGTTATCCACCGTACACTATTAATGCTTGTCCAATATTTGGTCTCACCTATTAGAGCACTTCTGGGTAACTAACTGGTGGGTGTGGCAATGCCGTAAGCAAGTAGCAGTAAGCATCAATGCAACTATCGTACCGATGGCACCCCCACACAACACACTCACATGATCCCTTTCGACTTTACTAAAAACTAATATTTCAAAGTAGCAAGCTACTAAAACGCGAGTAACCAAAAATCCACGTATCATAATGTACTAAAATATGGAGTTGAGTACGATTATTACACTTAAAATTGCAACCAAACACACTCACCTCAATTCGTAAGATAGCCGACATATCATAACGCTATGCGCTAAGACGCTGCCCACAGATAGTATGTGTGTTCACCGGTAAGCCATACTCGTATTGCTACAAGAAACCCGGTTACCACC